GGACTAGCCAGGAGTGTTACTGTGTCATCAGCCTGTTGCCATTTGGTCCTGGTCACCATTTTGTCTGAGCAAACCTCATAGCTACATCAGACTTTAAGACCATAAGTGACATCTACCAAATAAGTTAGGTTGTCACCTCATTGACATAGAAAGTAGAAGTCTCTACGGCTCACTGGTATTGCTCTCTTTAATTTATATCATGTTTTATGTTCCTTCCTAAAGTCTCTAACATATAGCAGTCTATGTTTTGACTTATGTTTAATCAATTTATGGTTACTGTGAAGAGGTTTTGCAAAGCAGTTTTTCATTCATTAATCATTTATTATTAAATTGTACTCTCATGGAAAATAACTTGATTACCTTAGATTAATAACTAATCAATTTGCTTTTTGGAACTTACTGTATTTCTTTGCACGTTTTATATAAAATCACATTCTTTATAAATAATGACATGCTTTAGTGTCTACGTCTCTCTCTCTCTATATATATATATATGTATATATATCTTTCTTCTGCATACTCTCTAATTTGTTGAATTTTCCTCCAGTGAAATATTGAAGAGCATTAGGAAAAATTGACAATTATTTTCTTATTCTACACTGATTAAGACATGAGCATTTGTGGAGCCCCATCATTTTGCCTCCATTCATCTCTTTCATTCCTTTGATTTTTTTCCACCCACGAGTAAATGACGGCTTTTACTAAAAGAGGAACTGAACTTATTTGCTTCATTTGAAAGCAATTACGTTTTTCTTAGGAACTTCCTGGTAATATTCCATGTTTATTTTTTTCCCCACATAACTGACAATTCAAACTGACTTGCTATCATGAACATTGCCTGAACTGTTTAATGTAGCAGTGCACCATGAAATCACAGAAGAATGGAAATTTGCCTGCCTTTCTGGATATAAATCTGTAATATAATCTCTTAGCTATTTTGGTAGATTTACTCACACTTCCCAACTCCTGTGAATATGCCTAAAGTTATCAGCTCATTCGTTTTGATACACACCAAGAAGACTAAAATTTTTGATAACAAAAATTCTCAGAATTAGGTTAAAAATGGAAAGTTTGGGAAGATACTCAACTGGTAAAGTGTGCAGTTCCTTAAGTTTAATTCCTGGCATAGTGTGGCCACCAGCAGCCAGGTGGCCTCTGGCTGCCACTGGACCAGAGAACCAAACCACAGAACCTGCAAGTAGTGATCCAGCATCCCCAGAGCTCATTGGCTGTGACCCCTGTTGAAAATAAGAAAGAGAAAGACCTTATCAGGTAGCAATGAGAATAGAAACATTTCTCTCTATCAAATAGCCTAACTTAGATCAGGAATTTGGAGATGTTTACATTTTTTTCTTAGAAACTTCTATACCTCTATAGTTCACAGTTATTGTTAGGAGTTGTATGAGCTTGTTTTCAGGATTTGGCTGTTCAGAGGATTTGAGACTCCTGCATGAATTCTGTGCTGATTTGCTAGAGAAAATAATCATTAGGGAGAAATCTCTTGTACCTCAGAAAAGCAACTTCTGGAACAGGATGTCTTTAGACTTTTAGTGGGTTGAATTGAGTGTGTTACTAACTACATTCAGAGTTTAAGTCCAAAACCATTATCTGAAGTTCCTATTTTTAATCATCTTACCTTTTATTTTGTGTCTGGTGTTTGTACTAAAATATCCTTACAGACTTATGTGATTCACTATATCTAACTATTTAGCCATTAAAAGAAAGCTGATAGGGATGATTCCAAACACTGTGTTTATTGCTGTTTGCTTTATTATGTTTTTTCGCAGGAAGGGACTGTCATGGGCAGCGGTGTGCGGATGGTTGCTCCTAAGTTGCTCTTGGGCTTCTTAGGATATTTGGATACCCCTCCCCCCTATCTGTGATTCTTGGCCAAGTAGGCTCTTTGTTCCATGCAGGGGCCCAAGGATATGATACTGCAGTGCTGGGGGTATTCAGGTCACCTGGAAGTTCTAGGAGCTTCCAGAGACACCTTGGTGATGCTGTGGGGGAAATTGTGATGCCAGAAATAGTACCCATGCCAAGCATGTGCTCTTACCATTCTACTGTCTCCCAATCCTCATGTTAACCAATTCTTTTCTATTAACTCAACCCATCTTCATCATTTTAGTTCACAGTTAATACTTTGTTTCCTTTTTTATGCACAGTACTTCTTTTTCAAATTCCCTTGCACTATAAATTGAAAGGAGATTGTCACTTGAGTTAGTCACTTTGCTTGCATTCAGGTTTTGGTGTAATTATAACAAGAAACTCTAGCATTCAGAAATTTTCTGTGACTGGTTTCATGTAAATCTCCAATACAATCTTTGTTTTGCTAAGTAGAACAAATGACATTGAAAATATATCACCTCAGCATGAAGTTGATATATTTAAAAAAAAAGCAAAAATAATGCTGACCAGTGAATTTATGCTCCGCAGAACGTGAGAGTTTCATCCATTTTTCATCCAACCTCTCAATAAACGTAAATATAAGATTTAGAAGTTTATAGGAGATAACAGATTTTTAAAAATCTATTAAAGTTTTTGTTCACACATCACATAGCTCTAGATAAGGTGCAAAAGAAATTTGGCAATTGAGACATGTATCTAAACTATGGTACTTTTATTTTTTATAATTTTTTTTTATAAATTTATTTATTTATTGAATCACTGTGGGAAAGGTTACAAAGCTTTCAGGTTTAGGTCTCAGTCATGCAAATATCAAACACATTTCCCTTTGCCAATACTTATTTTTTACCATGAAGAACCCCAATAAGACCCCACCCCCCACCCCTCCCAGTCCCTGTGAGGCAGATGAATTCTAGTTAGCACTCTATCTGCTTTGATTAGATTCATTGTTTCATTAAAAGATTCACCACTATTATTTAGAGTTTACCACCCCGCCAAATCAGACATGCTGAAAAAGCATTGAGAAGTGATTTGCTTTCTACAGCTGGGTTCAAGAATTAAATGTTGGTTTTGGATTTCTGCTATTTTACCTATTGACCCTGGAAGTATTTCTACTGAAAGTTAGATAGTTAAGAAATTGGTTTCTGTGCTCTGGAGTCATGGCCGTGCTGGAAAGCCGCTTGTGGGGGCAACTGGTGGCCTCGGTAGGGCGTGAAGGGCAGACCGAAACGCCCCCCTTCCCATGAGGTTTTAGTCGTCCCCACACCCCCGGCTCATAACTGCTGTCCACAAGGCTCCACTTGTGGCCGCCATCTTTCTTTCCAGAGAGGAGAGGGCGAATGGGGCAACACCCTTTTCCCTCCGTACAGACATGATGGCCTGGATTAACGCATAGTCCGTTCACTTTTCTGCTCCAAGCTGCTGGGTTCTGCATTAAGTCCTTGTGTTTCTGGGGCCGTGGCTGTGCTGGAGAGCCGCTCGCTGGGGGGCAACTGGTGACCTCGGTAGGGCGTGAAGGACGGACCAGAACGCCCCCCTTCCCATGAGGTTTTTGTCGCCCCTACACCCCCGGCTCATACCTGCTGTCCACAAGGCTCCCATGCGGCCGCCATCCTTCTTTCCAGAGAAGAGAGGGTGAATGGGGCAACACCCTTTCCCCTCCGGGCAGACATGATGGCCTGGATTAACGCATAGTCCTTTCACTTTTCTGCTCCAAGCTGCCAGGTTCTGCATTAAGTCCTTGTGCTTCTGGGGCTGTGGCCGTGCTCCAAACTTAACTCTGATTTTCAGGGAGAAACGTTGGGTGGTTTACTTCCCATTGATGAGTTTGTATATAGAGAGATGTCGCGTGGCCGTGTAAGCGGCCGTGCGGTTTTGAGGAAATGTCCTAGTTCCCGCATACTCGAGCTGTGCTTGTAGAGGCTTCTGGTCACCAGGGTTCCATCTGGGGGAGGCGGAATGCGGTACCTACTCCATCTGGGACTTCCCGATGATCTCGGCTCTTTTTGGAACCTGTTTTTTTCTTTTTCTCCGAGAGCTGTGGGTCCCGCCCTCCATGTGGCCCTTCTCTTCCGGCTATATGCTCAACTATGGTACTTTTAAAAGGAAAAAAAAAATCATGCCAATCTAAATTTGATCTGCAATCTTAGCCGGTAACCAGATGTTGAAACTGAGTCACTCAGACTACTCAGATCATTGTCACCACTGATTTCACACGATTAATCATAATTATCAAAAATCCTCAAAAGCCAGGGCTGGAGTGATAGTAGAAGAAATAAGGCACCTGCCTCCATGTGGCCACTTTGGCTGGCACAGGCTTTATACCTGGAATCACATATTGTCCCCTGAGTACCACTGGGGATACTCCTGAGCACAGAGCAGGGAAAAGCCTCTGAGTACTACCATTCCTGACCCCCTCAAAAAATAATAAAATAACACATATGAAAATTTAAGAGAGAGAGAAAAAGTGAGAGGGAGAGAGAAAGAGAAAGAAAAGAAAATTGCTTTCTATAGGGGTGGGGTGGGAGTGGGGGAGGGAAACTGGTGACATTGGTGGTGAGAAATGTAAACAAGTGAACAGATGGGTATTTTGAACAGTATGACTGAAAGTCATTGTGAACAACTTTGTAACTGTGTATCTCACTGTGATTCAGTAAAAAAATAAAAAAGAAAAAAGAAAAAATGTAAGAATCTTTCAATGTCCTTAGTACATAAAATATGAATATTGATGATAACACTGTTTGTGCTATCATTAACTGTGCATTCACTTCTGTTCTTATGTTTACACGTAGCATTGGGTATTGGTTCTTCTAACTCGTGCTTAGAGACAATCCCACGTTTTCATTGTTTTCCTCCCTGAAGCTATTTATCCCAGAGAACACTGGGTTTGTGCTTACTCACTTGCTTTTCTTCCCATTTATGATAAAGTTTCATTTATATGCAAGTTCATATAATTCCACTTTTTTCCCCTTAAGTTGCGTCTGTAGGATGTGAAGTTTTGGTTTGACAGGTGACACTTGAAAATTATGAGATGGCACATGATAGTATCTAGACAATTGGGCAGAGTAGTTTACAGTTTTTCTTTTATATTTAAGGTGACGACCCTTGTCAACACAAGCAACAAAGGTCCATCTGGCAAAAAGAAAGGGCGATCAAAGAAAGCCCACGTGCTGGCCGCGTCTGTAGAGCAAGCTACTCAGAATTTCCTGGAAAAGGGTGAACAAATAGCTAAAGAGAGCCAAGATCTCAAAGAGGAATTGGTTGCCGCTGTCGAAGATGTACGCAAGCAAGGTAGGCAGATCACTGTTCTTCAAGGGCAATATGTATATGTTTTATATATGTGTATATCTATTTAACACACACACACACACACACACACATATATAGCAGTATAGCACTGTCCTCCCATTGTTTATTGATTTGCTAGAGCAGGCACAGGTAATGTCTCACAACAAATTATGAGACTTGTTGTTACTGTTTTTGGCATATCGAATATGTCACAGGGAGCTTGCCAGGCTTTGCCATGCAGGTAGGATACTTTCGATAACTTGCTGACTCTCTGACAGGGGCGGAAGAATTGAACCCAGGTCAGCCATGTCGGCCACGTGCAAGGCAAACACCTTACCCACTGTGCTATTGCTGCAGCCCTGATATCGCTCCAGCCTTGCTATCCCCCCAGATTATATATAATCTGCACTGTATCACTGTCTTCCCATTGTTCATCAATTTTCTTGAGTGGCCACCAGTAACATCTCAGTTGTGAGTCTTGTTGTTACTGTTTCTAGCATATTGAATACGCCATGGGGAGTTTGCAAGACTCTGTTGTGTGGGCGGGATACTCTGGGTAGCTTGCCAGGCTCTCTGAGTGGGATGGAGGAATCGAACCGGGATTGTCCACATGTAAGGCAAACACCCTACCTGCTATGCTGTCGCTCTAGCAATTTTATATATATAATATATATTATACATAATCTATATGTAATATATGTGTAATAATGTATGATCTATACATATAAAAATTATGGATTTTTCTTTACAATTAATGCTTGCCCAAAAAATAGGGTTTATATAATATATATATATATATATATATATATATATATATTTTCTCTATTTGCCCTTGTTCTTTTTGTGTTAGCTGGAATGAAGTGTGCAGAAAAATAGAGGTTTGTTTTTGTTGTTGGTATGAGGTGGTATAGCACAGCTATAAACACTCCATGATTGTTGTTTCTTCAGAATCTTAAAGTCCTTTTCTCTTGGATAAAAAAAACAAAATAAAACACGATTCTTGTGGCAAACTCAGGTTTTATGGAGGATTAGATAAGTAAATATTATACAGTAACTGAAAATCCAGCATTTTAAAAATGACAAGAGAAGAATGTATTAGAATTATTGCTGCTTGATCTAATTCCCAAATTGATGTTTACAGTTCACATATTTTCTAAAAGTAATCTAGCTCTGTAGATATCAATGAATTTGACAAATTATGTAATTAGTTAGACATAATACTATTCTCTTATTTTTAAGGTATTTTTGGTGAATACTTTAGAATTATGTACTCTTTATATTTTATATGTATAGGTAAGTGGTTCATATTGCTGAGAAGCCAATCCCCAAAATATTTCAACCATGCAAAACTAAAAATCTGTATGTATTAAAGCAATTCCTAATACCTGCTAAGCTCTCAAGTCCCTGTGATTATTATTTTATCTTATTTTTCTCTGAGTTTAACTATTTAACTATTCTCAGTGATCCATACAATACTTGTCCATTTGTGAAATGAAGAAGGAAGGAAAGAAGGAAGTATTCTCATACACATTTAATTGATATTATAGAAAGATTAATTTGACAGTCTAATGAAAAATTGACTAAATAAGAGAAAGATTGGACTCAGAGATTGCTTATGTGTTATCATATTTTGGCGGAGAAACCAGAATCTGCAAGATATGTTGAGGACTGTGTATTGTAATGGAAATCATAATGAGACTGGAAGTGATGTTTCATGCCACTGACACTTGCAAAATGTGATCTTGTTATTTTTTAAGGGAAAAATGCCAGCTTTTTCAAATTTGCATACTAGATATACTAATTTCGGTGTCTAAAGAAGTGAAAGGGTATGCAGAGAGGACTGTTTGATTTTAAACATTGATGAATGCCTGTCACTGTCACTGTCCTCCCCTTGTTCATTGATTTTGCTCAAGCGGGCCCTGTAATGTCTCCATTTTGAGACTTGTTGTTACTGTGTTTGGCATATCGAATACATCACAGGTAGCTTGCCAGGCTCTGCCGTGCGGGCGAGATACTCTGGTAGCTTGCCGGGCTCTCCGAGAGGGGCAGAAGAATCGAACTCGGGTCAGCCATGTTGGCTGCATGCAAGGCAAACACCCTACCCGCTGTGCTAGCACTCCAGCCCACAAGGGGAAGGGGGATGATGCCTAGTAGAGAGTTAATGATATGAATGGAGCTTGGACAAGTGATGATTGGAAATCTTTGAAGTTGATAAATGAAGCCTTCTAAACAGAACATAATTTGAACACTTGCAAGTAGTGTTAAAGAGATTGGGATTCACTTTTCAGAGAATGGTTAAATTGAAATTAGAATATAGAAAAAAAATTATAGAGTGAACATGTGTCCTGAAATGTGCCAAGTAGTAATATAGTACTGAATTATTAGATCCAATTGAATAGAAAATTTTTAAAAGAGTTGGTAATCAATATTAGCTCTAGAATATTGTCATACTCAAAATATTCTGGAAGCCAGTTATCATGGAAGTTAAATGGTGAGAAGGGATGCTAGAGTTTGTTAGAAAGCTATCATTAATAATTTCTAGGCTACACCTGAGAGTGCTCCAGGACCTTATTCTGTGGTGATTGGGACCAGAAGCAGTGCTGGGATTCAAATCACTGTCTCTGCTGCAGCCACTTGCAAGGCAAGTGTCTAAACGTCTCTGCTATCTGTCCCAGTGCAGGTGATTTTTAAAAGTGCATTTTTAATTATGCACTGTCCTGTAGCACTGTCCTCCTGTTGTTCATTGATTTGCTCGAGCGGGCACCAGTAGCATCTCACAACAAATTGTGAGACTTATTGTAGCTTGCCAGGCTTTGCCGTGTGGGCTAGATACTCTCAGTACCTTGCTGGGCTCTCTGAGAGGGGTGGAGGAATCGAACTCGGATTGACCGCATGCAAGGCAAATGCCCTACATTCAAAGAAAATAGATAAGTTCAAAAAAGAAATATATACTAGAATGGCAGAGTAGGTAAGGCAGTAAAAGATATGGGCAGAAATTATCCTTCTGTGGTCATCATTGTATTATATACTACAAAGATTTCTTTACCTTATAGATAGTCTGTTAGGAAATCCTTTTTATTATTTTTTGATGGTTTGGTTTTGGAGTTCTACCCAGCAGTGTTGGAGGCTACTTTTAACTCAGTGTCTGGGTCACTTTGATGGTATTTGGGGGATCATGCAATGTTGGAGATCAAATTTAGGTCTCTAACGTGAGGATCAGTTCTTTGAACTCTTTCCCTGGCATTGTGTGTTTTTATTTTATGCATTTTTTTGTATACTGGCATAATGCCTGGCGTGTAGTGAGAAGTTAATAATGCATAAGTCAGACATTTTTTACAGAATGAGGATGGAATATTGTCACAGAATGCATGAAGAGAATTATTTGGATAACACATTAAGAATAACTAAGAAATATGACTGGGTGCTTGTTTGCCTCTTTTTTTCAATTAAAATAAGAAACATTTTAGTTCTATCAGTTTAAATAATAGGGTAGAATAATTATAGATATGATGGGGAAAATCTTAAGTTGGTTAGATGAGGTGATGCAAATGGGACATTTATTTTTTCTAGGAAAGAAGTAGGAAGAAACTGTGTACCCCAAAATGTTTCTTATATTTTAGATAAAACAGCAGATTGTATCAAGTGATCTCAGTTACTGTGAATGAAAAAAATAGGTGAGTTTTGTGGACCGTGGATATGAAACTTAACCACCATTATAGATGTTTTTATGTTTTTTTGTTTGCAACTGGTAATCATTGTAGCACTCATGTTTCTAAAGCATTTTATTTATTGAATATCAGTGAGTATAATCATGCCTGGAATGCAACTGAAAAGGCGAATTTATAACTTGCTTTAATTTTCTGAGTTGCTTATTTGAATTGTTTATTTCGTGTGCAACAACATTTACTAAGACTAGAATGCCCACATAGTTTTCTAGTAAATCTTCTTAGATATGAAGCTGATCCATAAACTACTTTGAAGGTTACTTTTCCTCATGTTTGCAAACTAAAGGGATCTATTTCATAATGAAAGAACACAGCAGTTAGTTTCTATATCTCCCCGTTTGATTATTCCATACTGTCTTGGGAGCAGTTACTCAGCTTTGCTTTTTAATTGCCTTCTCTCTGTTAGGGCAACCATAGATTTGGGCAACCATAGCCCAACCACAGAGAGGGACTAGATTAGAGGGTAGACAAAGATGAATAGGACTCCATCCCGGCTTTGGGGCATTATGGAGCTAAGTGATAAAAAGGCACACATGAAAGAAGTGACTTTTTTTCTTATGGAATCACTGTATTGGGTTTAAGATGGACCATGTCTCAACACCCATCCCTTCACACTGTATATTTCCCAGCACAATGTCCCTAGTTTCCCTTCCAACCCCCCCAGCCTTCCTCAATGGCAGACATACATACTCTCTCTCTCTCTCTCTCCCCTTTTGGGTCACACCAGGCGATGCACAGGGGTTACTCCCGGCTCTGCACTCAGGAATTACTCCTGGCAGCTCAGGAGACCATATGGGATGCTGGGAATTGAACCAGGGTCGGCCGCGTGCAGGGCAAACACCCTACCCACTGTGCTATCACTCCAGCCCCATCCTCTCTTCTTCTTAGGCACTGGTTTGCAATACTGTTACTGAAAGCAGTGACTTCTTTTTTTTTTTTTTATCTCTCACATTATTTAAACACCATGGTTTACAAAGTCGTTCATGATCCATTTGTTCCAGGCATTCAATATTCCAAACCAAATCTCACCACCACTGTGACCTTCTCTCTACCATTGTCCTCATTTTCCCAATCACCCCTCAAGCCTGTTCCCGTAAACAGACCCAAAATAATTTATTTTATCCTGCTTATTACCACTAAATGGCTAGTGCAATTCAGTAAAAGAAAATTTCTAGAATTTTTTTGTATGTCATCAAAGGAACATTCATTTCTTGTCTGAGAGTTTTCTAAGCTGCGTTGCCAGTTGAACTTTGTGTGTTAACATTTTTGTTGATTGAG